TATTAGCATATTAAGGGCTCTGTTTAATTTCTCTTGATCCAAAGGATTTTCAAGGCCTCTGGCCATGGAGCATTCATTCTATGTAATTACTACCTGTTACAGAATATCCTTTGGAAAACTGTGACAGAGAGGGTGGGGGCTCCTTCCAGTATCTACCTCCAAGGCTCTGCAAAGAGTTGTATGGCTGAAAGGGGCTTTCCCGGGCCACTCACCAGTTATGTGCCCTTGAGCAAATTCCCTGACCTGTTTGAGCCTCAGTTTCTTTCTCAGGTGAAAGCTGGTTGGGGCTTGCACCTGTCTCACCGAGCCGGGAGGGGCTGGGTGGGGCCTGAGGCGGCCCAGGGCAGGAGGAGCACAGTGGGAGCTCCCTACAGGAGAGTCCTCTGCTCCCTCAAGGAGAGCACACCCTGTCCTCTGAGCTGCCACTGTCCTGGGCACCTCAGGGTGAATGAGTTCGGCAGAGCCTGGCCATGAGCAGGAAGATGGGTGCGGAGGACGGGGCAGCATTCAGGACACAGGATGGGGTGGGCGTGTGGGCCCTGGGCTGCCGTGCGCTTCCTGCCATCCAGAGTTAGCCCTGGTAGGCGCTCAGCTATTTGGAAAGGTGAGCCAGCCGGGTTGCAGCCTGACGTGGTTCCTGCCCTGGGAGCCAAGGTGGGGGCAACGAAACTGGTTTGTCAGGGGGCACCAGCGGCACCTGGATCCTCCCCCTCACGCCCACGCCCACCCAGAAGGAACAGCCCCTTTTCACTGCTCCCAGCCCCACCAGGATGTGGTACATCTTGCTCCTGCCTGGCCCCGGACCGTACGTGAGGGGCGGTGGGAGGGTGCCCAAAGCACCTCGTCCAAGCCCAGTGCCTTTTTGCCCTGATCCTGGAGCACCTGGTGCTGTCCTCCCACGCCCGCTCTTCCCTGCTCATTGCTCTCCTCCACTCCTGTGCCTCCGTCCCTGAGCAGGTGCTGGCCTCCAGGGGTTTGGGGACCATCTTCAGGAAGTTTCCAGCAGCCAATGCAAATGAAGGCCACTCCCTGTTATTGAAGAGCCACTTGCAGGTACAGATCTGCCTGCCCTGGCAGCCAGAGCCTTCTCCCTGAGACTTAATCCTTGGCTTTCTGAGTCATCAGGACTTCTCAACCCGCGGCGAACAGAGAGGGGTCTGGAGGCCAGGAGACCATGTCTCATGGGCCAGCTTGGGGCGAGCTTCGCTGAAAACGCAACCTGGTCAAGGATCTTGGGGCTGAAAGTTAGAATTCAGCCCAGGGGCTCCTTCCCTGTTGACCCGGGACAAGGTCCCCAACTTGTGTTTCATGGCCTCTAGTCTGAGGCCACAGCTCACGCCCATAGTAAGGCCTCCGCCAGGTGGTCAGGCAGCTGGGAGCATGTGCACACACTTACCGAGGGCACCCAGCACTGCTGGGCCTGCGGAGTTCCTGGTTCAAACCTGGGCTGTGTGCATGGCTGCTGGGCTAACAGAGAATACTAGGGGCTGGCCTTGGCAGTGACCCAGCCCCAAGAGCTGCTGGCCAGGCCGGGGGAGGAATAGGACACCTTCCAGCCGTTCAGTTCCGTGGAGCCCAGAGAAGGTGTGATGATTCATCTCGCAAAGTCAATACACAGTCACTTCCCCACACAGGCCTGGACTCAAACTCTGAGGATCAGAAACCAATGCCCTCATGCTGCCCCCTGCTCTCTGGGATTCCTTATTGGCCTTCCCTGTTGTCCTCCAGGTGCCACCACCATGCCTCGGAAATACATGTGTGACTTCTCACCTCTGAGTGGCTCTGCAGCTCTGGGCTGCAGTTCTTAACTTTTCTGTGGTTTTTAATTAAATGCAAACATATGTGCATGCAGAATTCTGGACGCAGTTGCTGGAGGTCCCAGTGGGTCCTGAAACCCACCCTCGAGTGTCCTCGGATTCCATGAATTCAGGCTTCTGTGATGAAATGCATCTCTTTTGTGTGCCTTGTGCATGCTTGCCCTTTGCAAACCGAAGACCTCAAGTCCTTTGCCGCCCAGCCCAGTCTGCCAGGATTCCAGCTTTGCTTCCCAGGAGCTCTGAACCACGTGGATCCCTGCACACAGCCACACCGTACTCCACTTGCCTCTAGCCTTTATCCCTTTTGTTCCTCCACCAGGACTGCCGTTTCTGCCAAACTCATCCTGTTTCTGGGCTCCAATGTCCTCTCTGCAGGAAACCTCTGGCACCCAGGCCTGGCATCCAGGGTCAGAGCGCCTCCCCTGCCCAGAATCCCTGTGCTTCCCCTTCCTCCCCTCTGCACTTGGGTGTCCGGTGCTGCCTGCGCATGCTGCCTTTAGAGGAGTCCCCAACTCTTGTTCTGTAATTACGTAATGCACAGGAGTACCATAAAGAAAAAAGAAAAGAGAGATTATTATCATTTTTAACCACCTCGCTCCCAAAACAAAAAGGAATAGAGCAAAATGCCCACCAAATCTGAGCAGCATGAAGCTCTCATATGTGCAGGACAGGGCCCAGCAGCCACGTCCCAGGGAGCGGACCAGGGTCCTGAGGGCAGACGCCACGTGTCAAGGTCACTCAGCAGAACAGGGCGTTTGGGACCTTTGGCACCATCCTTCTCTTGTTGGTCATTTGATGGTTCATGGCCCCTGTGGGTCAACCTCTGAGTTCTTTTGGTTCAATCTGTCTCATTAGTCAAAGTTAGGTGGCAAAAAGTCCTAAACCAGCCCCCACCTTGGAATCAGCACTTCCTTTTTTGAGACGCGTCTGTATGTGGGCGTGCTCATGTGCATGCATGTTTGTGCGCATGCGTGTGTGGGTTGTTGGGCGGGAGCTCCGTGTTTTTAGAAAGCTCCCGGTGATTCAGGAACATAAGTTCCTGCAGGCGCTGGGCCCCTCCTCTCCACCAACCTGAGACACGGATTCAGGGTGAAGAGGTCCCAGGGACCCAACAACCTAGCTGGCTTATTTCCCAGGACAAAGCCAAGGCTGGGTCTCCGTGACACAGACAGGAAGCTGTAAGAATCAAATGAGCAAATGGGGAGGAAAGTGCCTCACACACTGTAGCACATGCTACAGCAGCATCTCAACCTTCTCTTGTCATTGCTTTCCTTAGGAGCCATTTTTAAAAATTGTGTGTGTGTGTTTTTCCCCCAGGTCTATTGAGGTATCACTAACAAATAACTTCTCAACTGTCAATAATTCACAAATATTTAAGGTGTTCAATGAAACATTTTGGTACACACTGTGAAATGACTACCACCACACGGCTAATTAACATACGCATGACCTCACATAGCTTTCACTTTTACTTGTAGTGAGAATATTTAAGATCTACTCTCTTAGGCAATTCGGAGTTCTCAGAACAGTGTCAGCTCTAGTCACTGTGCTATATTGGTGATCTCCAGTTCGTGTTCGCCCTGCACAACTGGAGTTTTGTCCTCCCTGAACAACAAACCTCTCCCCACTTCCGCCGCCCCCGGCCCTTGGCAACCATCATCCTCCTCTCCGCTTCCAGGAGCTCCACTTTCAGAGATTCCACATCTAAGTGCGGTCATGTAGTATTTGCCTTTCTGTATCTTATTTGAATTAGCATCAAGTCTTCCAGGTCCATCCATGTTGTTGCAAATAACAGGATTTCCTTCTTTTTTAAGGCTAAGTAACATTCTATTGGGTGTGTGTATGCAAGTAGCACATTCCTTATCCATTCATCTGTGGATATTCCCTTAGGTTGTTTCCATGTCTTGGCTAGTGCAATTAGGGCTACAGTTAGTGTGAGCATGCAGATATCTCTTCAAGAACCTGAGTGAATTACCTTCAGATATATATATTCAGAAGTGGGATTGCTGAATCATATTGAAGAGCTGTTTTAGACTTTTTTTCCTAATAGCCCATCCCTGTGAATAGCCTGTATGTCTGATTACATACTGGATGTGTACAGTATCTGCTTTATACACATAAAAAGTTCATTCTTTGTATTCAATTCAAAGGGTTAAAGATGACTAAATAAAATTTTTCAGTTAAATTAAAAAATTAAAAGCTACCAACATCTAACTTAACATTGTAACTATATTTTCTGAGTAACTTTTAATGTAATTTATTTATTACCTAAATTGTAATTGTCAAATTACATATGCAAAGGAGAAATTTACATAAATACATAATAATAGAAGTGCAATCAAATCATATCTCATTTAAAGCTGCCATTTTTCTAACAAAGCAATCGATAAAATTAATTTCTTAAAAATTTTTTCCAGTAAACTCAACTTTTAATTTTGCTTGAAACAGCAAAAGAACTAGTTTCTAGGGAGTGTGTGGCGGGATGGCCTGGGGAGGGGGAGCGTCTGTGAGAAAGTGCCACTCCTGGGGGTGGGGAGTGAGTCCTGTGCAGGGACAGGCAGCCTAGGCCCAGGCCAGGGGGCCAGGAGCGGGGGAGCGGGCAACCAAGTCAGAGGGAAGAGATGGATGAGCTGCTGTCAGACGATGACTTTCACAGTGTGAGGCGTGCTGGTGGCACTGCCCTCAGCGCTGACCTTTCCATGGGATAAGCAGTATTTGCCTAACTCTGTGACACACGTCTCCAGCGCAGCAATTGCCTGGACATCTGTCTCTCCAACCCGCTCACGGTCCACTCTTATCAGACTCCACTTTTTACACCCTCATCTCCTTCCCAAAGGATTTAAAGTGGACACAATATAAAGCACAGCTGAAGTAAGATTTTAAAACAAGAGTTAAAAGTCAAAATACAGGTAAGGAGAGGGATAATCACCTAAGGAAAAAAATGGGATACATGTAAGTTATTACATAAAACTGGCGTGGAACTTTCAGGAGCCCAAGGTAAAAGGGGAAACGCGATACACTGTGTAGCTTTCAAAAGCTAGTAAATGGCAATATAAAATACCTGGTAGGCTCTGACCCCGTGGGCCTGGGGTCAGAAGGCCTGGGTTCAGAACCTACAGTGATCAGCCATCAATGCAGCTGTGCTCCAGTCACAGTCCAGGCCCGGCCCCTCTGCGCCCACAGGCTGCCCCATCACTGAGGCTGTGACAATCCTAAGGAACAAGCTCAGAGATCACCAGGGGCAGTTCAACACCACCCACCTGCTGGCCCTCTGCGACTACTTCCACAACACCTTCCTCCGCCACTACAAACTCTACCAGTACGTCCTGGGCCAGGACCAGGAAGTCAACCTGACCGTCACCCACCTGGAGGTGTGTGCGCCGCCCCAGCCCCTCCCGCTGGCTGAGGGCAAGGACTCGGCCCTGTGGAAGCATGAGCAGCAGGTGGCCGAGCTCAGCGTGGCTGAGGTACAGAAGCGCACCAACCTGCTGCTCCTGAAGGAGGCGCTGCACCTGGAGCAGGAGCATGAACTGCAGCGAAAGTTCACCAAGGACCCCGCGCAGCAGGGCCGGGTTCTAAAGAGAGAGGTAAGGCTGTGCCCCAAGCGGGGAGGGCTGCTCCCCTGCCCTGAGCAAACACCCCATTCCTATCAAGCAAATATACAGGGTGGAGTCAGACACCCAGACAAGACCCCAAGTGTCTGTGCACATGGAGGCGGCTGAAAGGGACAGCAAGTCATTGACTGTCTACCATAGGCTTTGCATGCATGTTCCATGAAAAACATCCCTGTAAGGTATAATTCATGTCCCCATTTTAGTGACGGGACAACTGAGGCTCAGAGAATTTTATCGACTCACCCCAGGTCACCAAGCTACCGTGCGGTAGAGTTTAGATTTGGACTGAGGCCTGGCTGACTCCAAAGCCCAACTTCTTTCCACGGCATCATCGATCAGTGACATTCCACCAAAAAGCCCCCTAGGCCCTGAACCACCACAGATTCTCTGGGTGCCTGCGGCAAGGCCTGCGTGGAGATGAAGGAGGAAGGGCCGTGGGGCACAGCTCAGGGTGGGCGATGTGATGAGATGGGCAAGGGGTGGGGGCTGGTTGGTCCCGGGGGGGACCTAGAAGAGCCTGGTGTGTGAATCTAAGAAACCGGGCTGCCTTCTTGATAGGTCTCTCTGGTGACCAGCTCTTCAATGCGCGGCAACGAGCTTGGCCCCAGGGCAGCCAGCTTCTTCAGGGCCTGGAGGAGTCTAGATCTTTTCTTTAACTATACAGAGGCACTGATATCATCACTGTTACATCATCTTTGAGCACAGAGACATGTGACATGTGCCTGTGTATGTACATATATGTATATATTGTAGGGGGTGAGACTAGGTGTGGAGCTGGGAGTCACAGGGCCTGTGTGTTCCCAAAGGGTTTTGGTTTCTGAATTGTCAGCCAGAGTGTAAATGGCCCTGGAAAGTATCCTTTAAGTACATATAAAATGCTGGAAAAACCCTGCAGAACAATTAATACAGCAGAAGGAATGACACTCTTCTAAGGTTAAGTCCCAGATAAATAGCACATCAGGCTGCTACATAAACTTAGTGCACTGAGACGTCCAACTGGACCAGTAGAACCCAAGCAACAGCCTGTCTCCACCCCCTTCCAGGGACCTTGCTCTAGAATATGTGGGCAAGGCCACGGGTAGGAGGGGGTACCTGCTGCCTAGCTTCTTCCCACCTGCCCCCCACCACACACAGCTGTTTCTCCCCGCTCCCCCCAGCTTTTCTGTGGGCCATCACTTTGCTGTGGGTCCCTGCTTGGTGGATCGTGGCTAGGGCCTCCTTCACGGTGTGCCTCTGGTGATGGGCCTCAGCTGGGGACACTCAACGCCATGGAATAAACATGGTGCATCCCCTTGGAACACAACCTCCAGGATTTCATGATGCTATGATCCTGGCTTAGGTGACAGAGAGGGTCTCCTGTTTAACTGGGCCAATGGTGGGTGGCTAGTTGGGGGACATGCCCACTTTCTAAGAAACTTCCCATTCCCTCCAAAGAAGCTACTAGAACTTTGAGATGTAAGCATGAGATGAAGGCAGGAGGAAAACGAAGGGAGATGCTATCCAAATGGAGCTGGCACAGGCCAGCAAGAGGGGATATGGCACTGGCCTATGGTCCCAGAACAATGTTGGTAATAAATGACCCTCAAACAGGGTGATTGCCACAACAGGCTTGAATGGAGAAGAGAGAGCTGTAGCTATAGAAGAGGCCATGGGACAGGTGGTGTGGCTATAAGCAAAAGATGAGAGTCCTGGCCGAGCCAGAGCTGGTTGGAGGAAGAGGAGAGACTGCATTCTCCTCCTACACTCAGAGCTCCTGCCAGGACCTCTCATTGGCAGAACTCAACCAGAAGCCAAAGGTCAAGGTAGCCGGTTGACACTGCCCTCAAAGGTCAGCCTCCCAGGGCACAGACTTGGGTGGAGAAGGGTAGAGAGGCGATCTGGAGAGAAAAAGGGAAGGTCCCAGCACCCAGTAAAAGGAAAGAATTGGATGCTGTTAAGGAACCCTACCTGCAGACGGCCTTGACCTTCCCCTGAGCCCTGTTCACCAGCCCTGTTCTTTTTCTCCCAGGAGTTAGAAAATCTCATCAACGAGGCCATTCACATCCAGATTGAATGTCTGAAAGAGCTGCTGCAGTATGAAATACAGATAACTTTCGACATTTTGGACCTGAAACTTCAGAAGAAGACTTTAAATCTCAACGCCCCTGTCCCTTTCCCACTCTCAGTCACTGGCCAGCCAGGCCAAGATGAATCTCTGAAGTTCAACAAAGCAAAAAAAGGAAAGAAAGCAAAAGACAAGAAGTAGAAGACCCCTCATGTCCATCGCCTACAGACACTGACTGAGGAAGAGCCATTCCTCAATCATTATTGGCTATTGTGTGATGTGCTTGGCACCCAATAGATCAGAGATTTCTAGCCATTAAAAGACATGAAACAACACCTATCGTCTTACCTCTACTTTCTAGAAACCATCTCCTTCCACGTGAAAATCTAACCCAATACAAAGGTCGCTCTTCTCTGCTAAACACAGAGCTTTGTGCCTGATGGGCAAACAGCTCTTTTGTTGACTAAGCCTGAGTTTAGACACTGAAGACAGAACAACCGCGAGTGGGTTGAACCTGGAAAGAGCAGGGGGGACCAGAAGGACCTCCAGCTGATGCATCAGTTCTACCACTAGCATGGGGAGAGCTGGTCCCGGGCTTCTGTGGCCTTCCCGGGACTGGCACGGCAGGATCGACCACGTGCAGCCTGGCCCGTGCGTGCTGGTCTCCCTGCTGGAGGGTGGGGCTTCCTTCTGGGAGAATCGATGCTGTTCAGACTGAGTCAGCAGGGCAAGTGCTGCCTTAGAGGCCGGGGATCTGGCTTCAAACCTAGCTCTGCTGTTGCTCTGCTGGGTGGCCTTGCCCGGGTCCCTTCTGCCGTTGGGCCCCAGTTCTCTCTCCTGTCAAGTGGGGGTGTCCCTGGCTGGTGTCTAAGGTCCGTCTTCCACATCCGAGGAGATAGATGAAGCAAGTTTTGCTATTCCCATTTGTCAAGGAGTTCAAGGAGGTATGGAGTATTTACTCAAAGTCACTCAGTGAGGCAGTACAAGAACCAGGATTCGAACTCAGGCCTCTGGACTTCTATTTCAGTGCTCTTTCTCCTGCAGCGTTGTGCCTCTTTCAGATAGCCACACAAATCCTGAAGCTGTTGGGTATCGCAGACATCTAATTGACAGGCGAACGGGGCCCCGAGCTCAGGGCAGAAAGGACGTTTCCTCTCACTGCCCCTTCCCAGGCCAGCACCCTGCTGTCTCCTCTGCCATCTGCCCCATGCCCCTTGCTCACAATGGGACAGGCCACATGCAGCTCTCCTTGTCATTATTATGTTTGTCTCTCCATGACTACAGCTGCTTTCTGAGTCTTGCCACTGAAGGTGGGCCTGGGTCTATGTGTTCCCAGGCAAAGTCGGCCTGCTTTTGGAGGCCAGGCTGGACTTCGGGAGGGAGAGGGAGCCCCAGAACGGTCATGTCACCAGCCCTCCAGCCTTCTGAGAGACTTCTGGGAGACCAGAGACCCCTGGCTGGGAAGGGGTCTCACCGGAAGCACTACCCCTGGCTCTCCCCATCTTACCTTGATGCCATAGTGAGGGTAACTTATACCTGAGACATTTGATAAGCTTCCCCATACCTCTTTGGCTAGAGGAAGGAGGTGCCAGGTTTTTCTTAAACTTCTCATCTCTACATTCATTCACTTATGTGTTTATCCTCTACTCCAGAAACATGTTTTAACATCCACATCTACTGTGTGGCTGAAACTGCTATGGTCCGGAGGGGAAGTGGGAGAGCTGCCCTCCTATCCTGTTCAGGCCTGATTGGGATCCCAAAACATCCATGCAGCCAGTGTGCGTATGTGTGCACATGTGTGCAAGCATGTGTGTGCATGTAAGTGTGTGTGTTTTGGGAGGAGGCAGAGGGCAAGTGGGTAATGCTCCAGACCCAGCCATGTGCAGGGGACCCACACGCTGGACCAGGAGAAAAGCAGGCACCCTGGCCAGCCCAGGAACAAGCCGGGCTGAGAGCACTGCTATAGAGCCCAGAAGGCACTGGAAGTATCAGTTGATGCTGGGCTGGGACAAGTCAGTACAGAGGGACTAACAGCTCCCTCTTGCCTTGCCTTACTTCCAAGTAGGGGGAGGTTCAGCCATCCCACCCACACCCACAATCCAGTGTTCCAGCCTTGCCGTGCCAGTGCCCAGAGAGACCCTCAGGACCCCCGAGGCTTTGAACCTTTTCAGATTCAGGCTATCTGTACCCCAAACAGTGGACAATGGACTACCGGCACTGTCCTCCTCGCAAGATCTGACCTTTCTCAGGAGAACTCTTGCCATGGGCACTTACAGTCACCACCCCATGGATAGACCCCAGACTGGCCAGCCAAGTGGCCAAAAAAGCGATGGGTGCTGAAGAGGCTGCAAAGGGGAGAAGGCGGTCCCTACAGTCATGTATCCATGCAGCCAACTGCAGGGCCTCCCTTCACCCTCAGGGGTGGCTCTACCCCTAACCTGGAAGGGCTGGGGTTGGACCTAGGGCTTCAGCCACACCGTAGATACAGATGCTAAATAAAGCTTGGGAAGTAAAGGAAAAAATGAATGAATGATAAATGAATGAATGATGAATGAATGAATGAATGAATGAATGAATGAATGAAAAAGAAAAATTTAAGAAAATCCTGGCACCTCCTCCTTCTGTCTGCAGAGGTATTGGGAAACTTATCACACTTGTCAGGTATAAGATACTCCTCCCTGTGATATCACACCTGCTGAGGGTAAAAGCAGAGTTAATAAAAATAAGAGCCCGTCCTGCCTTGCCCTTGCCTATGGAACCCACCACAGGGATAGAAGTTTCTGTCCTGAAAAAGATCTCCCCATTTAGCAAGGGAGACCAGCACTTCCATGCCCAGCTGACTTCCATAGTCATTTGGTATCACCTTCCTGAGGACCAGCAGAGGAAGCCTGGAGTGTTGGTGTCTGAGGAGGAGGAGGGACACCCTAATGAACCCCAGGGCCCTTCCAACCCGGGAATAAACCAAGTGGCCTTCGGAAAAGTTGCATTTCAAACACAGGTGCCTGAGCAGTCTAGGGAAGCTGCCCCCCTCCCTCAGCTCCTACCCAAATATGTAGACGTCCTGGTCACAGAACTTGTTAAATGTCTGTTGCATGTGTAACTCTGTTTCATGTATGAGGGCATGGGGATGGGGAAGTTACAGGGACCAGAACTGAGGAGGGAAGATAGGGACGAAGGGATTCAAAGCTTCCTTAGAAACAGGAGTGGAGGCCTCAAGCCCCATATACCATGGCAGCTAAAACTGAGCTTTCTACATCAAGGTAAGAACAGGGAATGGGTGGCCCCATTGCAAAAGCCCCGCCCGTTCCCCCACCCTGGGAAGCAGCACTGAGCAGCCCTCTGCAGCAACTCCCGGAGGACCCAGGCCCACTGCGGATGGCAGAGCTCCCCCCGGGGCCCCACTCTCAGCCAAGGCCTAGATGCTGACACCAGGCATGAAAACAGCAGACTGAGAAATACCCTAAAATCAGGCTGGGATTGGAGCATCACTTACAGACCAAGGATAAAGTGCCCCCATAGGTGAGTTGGCCATACCTCCTGGTTGACTCCTATTGTCCCCGTGTCCTACCTGGTTTGTCATCGCTTAAGGGAATCCAATTTAAAAATGCTTTTAAAAAAAGCCAGGACAGGACTGGTAGCCTCCCAACTTGTATTTCTGCCTTCTGTCAAGATTGTGTGTCTTGGTGTGTGAGACACAGGTGCAGCGAGCGAGTTTCCACCTCAACGCAAGGCTAAATTCGGAAAATGATGAGGGTGGACCTGCCTCTCCTTCCCCACCCTTTCCTGACTCAGCGTAAGCCTCTCAGGGACAGTCATTTCACCTGGGATGGTGAAATGCTCACAGGCATAAGCAACAAATGAGAGTTCATTTCCCCTCTGGGGTGATGGTGAGAGAAAAGCTCCGTGTTGCTGCTCCTGCCAGTCATGCCACAGCCTGCAAGACGCAGGAAGCTGCCTGGTCACCAGGCTCCAGGGTCCGCAGGGAGGGGTGGGAGGGGCAGGCGAGGGGTAGCTGTATGGTGTGCAGGAGCTAGAAGGCAGGAGTCTTCTCGGAGGGCTCAGACAGCAACGGGAGCAGCCTCGCTGCGGAGACTTTGCCATTTACTGTACAATGTGAATCGACAACTATTTATCTTAGCGTTTGCTATGGCATTTTCATTTTTCAATAACCCTCAGTAGCAATGAGTTCGACAAAAGAAAGGGAAAGTGCATGAGTAATGAAAGTGTAAGTTATCTTGATTTGCTCATTTTCAAGAAAATTAATGATGAAACTGAAATGGTTACGGCATTTACCATCCTCTGAGATCCATAGTGAGGTCGATGATGATATAAAAAGCAGGACACAACTCTGCTCAAGAAGCATCAGCATCTAACTCTAAGGTCATCAGTAACTTTAAGAAGACTGTCTAAAATCCTGGACAAACGTCATTCTGGGTGTTCCTGTAAGGATGTTTTGGATGAAATTAATATTTGGATCAGTGGACTAAATAAAGCAGATTGCTCTCTCTAACATGGTGGGTCTCATCCAATCAGTTGAACAGAACAAAACACCGACCTCTGTGGAATAACAGACACCCCTCCTTCCTGACAGCTTTTGAAAAGGGACATCAGCTCCCCTGTTTCTACAGCAGTTGGCCAGCCTTTCGACTTGAGCTGAAACATCAAGCTGAAACATAAAGCTCAAGACTTGAGATGAAACAAACTGATTTTAGAATTGCCAGTATCTCTCTCTCACTCATATAATATATATATTCATATAATATAATATGTGATCATAGAATTTCTATATATGCATATATGTGAGCATATAATTATATTTATAATATATCGGTTTTGTTTTTCTCGAGAACTCTGTTCAGTCCATTTGTCAAATCCCAGTTTTCTTGCACACATGCTAAGACGGAAGTGATAGCTGTTCATTTGCTAGAACGACCAAGAGATGAAGTTAACACATGGTCAAATGATGTCAGTTTCCTATTAGTGTAATCATACGCATCAATAGAAAAAAATCAGACAATTCCAATAACAGTTCACTTTTTCCATCTAATTCACTCAATCAAAGTAAATCTTTTGGAAATTCATTCTGTTCAAGGGGAAACATCTCACAATATTGTGAATACTACTGGAAACTCACTTTTTAAAAGTTCAACATGAAAAATAAGAATGCTGTTGAGATTATAACATTAGCCCATCAATATGTA